TATCGGCCGCCGGGCTGGGTGCTGGGGTCTTCTTTCTCCATTCTGTTTCCCTGGGGACCCTGCTATTTCCCACTGAGATCTAGAGCTAGAAAGATTCTAGGAGAATCGTGCATGGTTCAACTCTCTCATTTTACAGATGGGGAAGCTGAGGCCAGTGAGAAGGGAGTTGCCTAAGGCCCCCACGACAGAAGGAGAGCTCCAACCGGCAGCTCCAGACTCCCAGGAGGCCCAGGGCTGCAGGAGGGGCGAGGGGTCCGGTACTCACGGCCCGGACTCCACCTGGATGGAGCCGACCTTCTCCAGCAGACTGTCGGTCAGGTTGGGGCACTCGGCGGAGAGCTCGCATCGCTTGCCCTGGAAGTTCTCGAGTTCGTACACAGTCACCTGGAAGAGCAGCCTCCTAAACATCCCACCGGCAGACTCCGGTCCCAGCACCCACTTCACCTTAGGGCATTAGCCGAAGGTACAAATTTGCTCCCTGGCCCTGCATGCAACCAGCCCGGAGCCGCCACCGCGGCAGGTCTGCACTGCCCCCTGGTGGCCACGGAGAGAAACGCCTCCAGGAACTCAATTCCACGGATTCCACCAGAATTTGCAACACAAATAGGTACCTGTTGGAGCCAGGAGTGGGACCTACACCAGGATGAAAGGTCCCAGAGGAGGGCCATAGGGAAATAAAGCTGCTTCTGACCATGAGAGAATGAGGGCAAGTTCCAAACTTTTCAAGGGAGAGCAAAAAATCTATATTTTCCTTGATGTGAAATTTCCCCATTTGTAAGACTGTGCAGAACAAACCAAACACCCATTTGCAACCTCTGGGTGGACCTCGCCTGCCTCATGCCTGGGAAGGAAGTTTGCCTCTATATCCTGCCTGGAAGCACACAATGACTTAGTATTATGTAAGAGCCCTAGGGGGCATCTGTCCTCATTTTACAGAAAGGACAAGAGAGGCTCAGAGAGGGTAAGACACTTGCCTCAGGCGGCACAGCAAGTTAAGAAGGAAAACGGATTCAGTATGTCTGCTGGCTCAGACAGGGAAGGCCCCACGATGATGGAGAGGTAGGAGGAACAGTGGTGACCTCCACCTCGCTGCTGGCCAGCTGCCTCGGGGACTTTGTCAAGGCCCTTAGGGTCACTAGACCCACCCTGTGCTGTCCCCATGAGGAAGCTGAGAGACCAGGACAAGGCTTGCCCAATGTCACTCAAGCATCAGGCCCAGGGCCAGCAGGAGGCGTGAAGGTTAAGGCAACTGGATCCCACATGGGTGACTGTGCAGTTCGAGTCCTGGACTTGAAAGTTTGAAAGTCACGCCAGGCGCGTGTGAGTGCATGCCCAGAAAAGTCCTGAGAGGAGCCTGGAGGAGCGGGGATTCAGTGTGGCCATTCCCCGGCGGCTGAATTCTCTCTCTCTCTCTCAAGTCCATGTGCCCTATAGCAAACAAACAACTATTACAAATTATTGGGGGGGAAAGGCTCACAAAAAAATAATAACTAAACAAGAAAGAAAGAAGAAAGAAAGAGAAAGAGAAAGAGAAAAAGAAAGAAAGAAAGAAAGAAAGAAAGAAAGAAAGAAAGAAAGAAAGAAAGAAAGAAAGAGAGAAAGAAAAAGGAAAAAAGAAAGAGAACCAGGCCCAGACCAATGGCCCCTCCTGCTCCTCACTCTGGCTGTGAGCCCCCTCAAACGCCCCAGTCCTAGTTGTTTCCTCACAGCCCACCCCCAGACTCCATCTCAAATGGTTTCCGAAAGCCCCAGGGACGGTTTGGAGGATCCGAGAGAACACTGCAGGCCTCCCTCGGTGCCCGCTCTGACAGCTGGCCACGCAGAGGGCGTCTGCTTCTAACTCTCACTCCAACTCTGAAGGCCGAGGAGACCCATTTAAAGGTGGGGCTCTCAAGGCTCAGAGAGGACAAGGAACGGCCAAGGGCAGGCAGGAGGGTTGGAGCCCAAAGCCAAGTCTCTGATGCTGCTGGACCTCTGGCTGAGACAGGCCAGGCGGGAGAGGACTATTTCATTTGCAAATGAGGACGTGGAAGAGGGAGGTTTCATGAAGTCACGCAGCCGCAGCCGGTTTGGAGCACAGGGGTGGGGCAAGGGACCCACCCAGACAGCCCCGTCCTGGCCTTTCCCTGGCCCTGGAGCCCCCAGACCCTCGCCCGCCAGTACCTTGTAGCCGCCCCCGAGGCCTCCGTGGCTCTTGCCAGCTGCAGCCTGCTCTGGCGCTCCGTGCTGCTCTGCCATCTCCCCAGGAACACCTCTGGCTTCAGACCAGAGAAAAACGGGTCACCAGGGCCACCCCGGAGAAGATACAAGGATGAGATACAAAACCTTGCTGCCTACGGGCATGGCCATTACTCACGATCAACATGTGGTCCTTCAGCCGCTCAACAAACACCCGCCGAGCACCCATGGGCCGTGCGGGCTGGGGCAGCCAGCAAGGGCGGGACCCCATTTCACAAAGGGGGCCCCGACACCCACTAGGTGAAGCCACTCCCCCCCAGCACAGAGCAAGGTCAGAAATAGGCCTGGCCCCAAAGCCCATGCCCTTATCCCACCCCAGACAGCTCCCCTAAAACAAGCTTCCTGGAGCTCTCTGCAGACCACCGCCCCTGAGCCCTGGCCAGAGAGGGTAGGAGATGGACAGACAGACACCTGCAGCAAGCAGGTCCTCAGACACCTGCTGCTGCGGCCCAGTCTCCAGACAGCCTGTGATTCATGCCATATGCATAGGAGCCGCTTCAGGACATACATGCAGTTTCCTTTCATTGCTATGGGGCGGTGACATCCACTCCAGGCCCCGTGGGACTCACATGGAAGGAGTCTCATGATTGTCGCACACACAGGCACAAGCCCTCGTGGCCACCGTACAATCACAGGCACACTCTCTCTCACTCACATGCACATTTCAGACATCCCCAGAGACACAAACAGCACCCGTGTCTACACCACATGCTCAGCTGCACCCCCACAGCTCCCAGCATGCCCACTTCTGGCATGCCCAGCTTTGTGGCCCGGCCTGGTAATGCCTAACTCCTGGGCTACCTATTTCACCTATTCTGTCTGTGCTTGGCCTCAGCAGAAAGCAGGGTTACCCCGACTCACAGGGACCCTCCCAGGGGACTTGGCAGGTCCCACAGTCCCTCCCTCGGATGTGCTCGGTTTTTGGAAGTCCCCTCTCACCCGAGCCCACACTCAGAGCTCAGACCCTGGCCGCTGCCCCGACAGACAGCACAGGCCGCAGCTCCACCCAGCTGGCTTGGCGGCTATCTGGACACTCTCCCTTGGCATGATCACCATGCGCACCCCCGGTTTTTGCAGGGGGCCAGCCACACACACCCCCACAGAGACTGCCAACAGGCTGGGCCCGCC